TATTAAAATGGGTGGTGATGGTGGGTGGTGGTGGTGGTGGTGGTGGGTGATGGTGGGTGGTGGTGGTGGGTGGTGGTGCGTGGTGGTGGTGGGTGATGGTTGGTCAAAAAAAAATTTTTACTTTAAAAATCACATGATAATATAAAAAATTAAAAAAAAATTTTTATAGTTCTTGCCTTTAGTTCTTCATGGATCTAAATGTATAAACCAATCATATTGATGAATTTTACAACAGTTGCAAAGCCGCTTTTTTTGCTGAACGCAGCCATTGTCTGATCTCTACCTAGAGGATCTCTAATCAAACCCGCTCCGTCCGAAAACGATTATTAATCCTGAAATACAATCCCAGACAGCACAGATCTCCTGAGGAGAGTAGAGATGTATGTATACAAATGTTCTTAGAAACGTCTTATAGACATTCTATGAATATCGTGTAGTCTGGGATAGATGTAGTAAGCTTTAAGCCGTAAGAAATTGACCAATCGTAATCGATTATTTTCTTTACATTCGACTGCGATTGGTCCATTTCTTACGGCTTAAGGCTTCCTACCCATTGTGTTTCGGAACTTACGCTCGTTATCGCAAGTCATAAAAATAAACTAGTACACATAAATAGACAAAGTATTTTTTTTTATTAAGTTAAAGTATTAATGTATATAATATCAAAGATTAAATTCTATTTTTTAACTATTAAAGTATAATAAATATTTTTTGAATGGTGCATATATCACGATTTAAAGGAATTAACTCGAATGCTTAGTCCCGAAATACAATAGATGTAGTAAGCCTTAAGCCGTAAGAAATGGACCAATCGCAGTCGAATGTGGAAAGAATAATCGATTATGATTGGTCAGTTTCTTACGGCTTAAGGCTTACTACACTTATTGTATTTCGGGACTTAGAAAAACGATAAGAAACACTTACTCAATAGAAGTAAATAAACATTGCAGATTATTAACATAATTTACATCATGCAAAATGTAAATTATATCATAAATTGGTTTAATTTAATAAAATAGTGAAGTACTTTAGAAGTGTTTTATATTATTTATTATATGAGTCCAGTAATATCACAGTATAACCAGTAGGTCCACTCAACGAAAAACTGAGTCTTTGCGCAGGTATCGCCGCGCAACTTTTGTTTTGGGTTGGATCCAATGAAATACAAGACGATAGGAACGTACATACATACATATGTGCAGACAATTTATAAACAATTACATCAGAAATTTTCTTTAGTGATCACTCCTACGAATAATTGTTATTAATAAAACGTTTTATTCAATTCACACATTGAATTTATTGATTTACTGTATCGAATCCATATTATTACTTATCTGTTTTATTACTAATTGTGAGCACTTTTCTCAATTCGGTCCTGGATTTAACATGGTGGATGCTTACGTGATCTGGAAAAGGAGATCAAAGGTGCCGACACGAAGTGGACCTACTGGTTATGCTGTGGTAATACCGCAAGATTTTAAGACTTGTCTCTATTAGTGTGCTCTCCTGCTTCCACTGTTATAGCCGGTTCTCTCTCTTTAACTCGGCTAACTCATAACCCAATAAGGGCACACTAATAAGGGGCACACAAATACGGACAGGCACAGTAATAAGAGGCACATAAATGTGGACAAGCACATAAATTGGGGGGGGGGGCATTAATATGGCTATCGCGCCATGGAGGGGCACACTATAATCGGGAAAAAAACATAATTGTTTTTATTTTTATTAAAATATATTAAAATATTAATATTTTTTACCTAAAAAAAATTTTATAATTGAAAAAAAAATTTGAAAAATCGATATATTAACTTTAAACAGACAAATTGAAAGCTACAGTA